ACACCTCTGGCCATTCCGTTGGGTCGTTTGTAAAGTCACAGATACTGTACGGACAATACAGCTCAATTTTTGATGTATCTTGCTCTGTTAAACGGAAAAAGTGACTTTACTAGGCTATACTGGATTTACACCATGCATCTCCTGTCAGCGGGAAAGCCGCGCCTCCAGCTATCACAAGACCCGACCAAGTCCATGGTTGACACCCTCTCATTAGCATGTTGTGCAGAGGAAAAATAAATGCGGAACTACATTCAGAAATAAATGAGTGATTAAAAGAAAACAGTTAGGATGAGTTTAGCATTTCCTTAAACATTTTCCATTTGGCCACCAATTTATTTTATTTATTTGCCTACTTTAATCACGTTGAATTATTTCTATATGTATTTAAACAAGAATATGTGTATTTATACACACCTTTGTTTATTTATTTGCATATTTATTTATTTATTTGTGTATTTATTTATTTATTGTTTTTGCAGGTTTCGTCCTCCATAGTCCTCGTGTTGCGCAGAGGAAAAAACTACATTCAGAAATAAATTAGTGATCAAAGGAAAATAGTTAGGATGAGTTTAGCATTTCCTTAAACATTTTCCATTTGCCCACCAATTTATATTATTTATTTGCCTACTTTCATCACATATATAATTATTTATTTATGTATTTAAACAAGAATACGTGTATTTATGCACACATTTATTTATTTATTTGTGTATTTATTTATTTATTGTTTTTGCAGGTTTCGTCCTCCATAAAAAACAAAGGTATTAAACTATGTTGCTGAAAATACTTGAAAAAAAAATACTCTCGTTGCATTTAAAAAAAAATATTCCGTCTAATTTATTCATAATGAATGGTGATTACTTTTTGTCTTGTTAAGAGTAAATATGAAGTTTTCTCAAACAATTGACATTAGAATATGACACATGCTAAAGATGATCAGACATTATTTTTTCTTTCTCTCTCATGCACACACAAAAAATACCTTGTGAGACAGAAAACTGCATCCCAAAACTCTAAATAGCCTATTTTTCTTTTCTTAACAAAACAAGGTCATACGTATCAAAGCAAGTAACATGCCATGATAAACAGCAACAAAGATTATTTTAGAGGTATTGAAAATAAATAAGACCTTCTGGATTAAATATTTAACTGTAATGACATATGACACTGATATGTGACACCAAAACTCACTTACTCACACTGAGTAGCCTAAGTATTGCAATGCTTACAGGGCACCTTTCACGTAAAAGCTCCGTTTAATTTGCTGTGGCACATTTGAAGTCTTTAGTCTGCATTTAGTGCTTTTCGCGGAAATGCCTTATTGCAAATGTCTCTAACTGACTGCTGACTGCAGTGATTTGGGGCTTGCAGATAGGCAGGCAATAATGTCCCCCGGCTTTATCTCCAGTATTCATTTCACAGGGACGAGAGAATGGCTAGGGATAGATCATGACACCTCTTAGGATTTGAGCAGTCTCCGTCAGTCCTCCAACACGTTTTTACCACCAATATTTCCATGAAAGGCTATTAAAGCAAAGCTTGACTTCTCTCAAATATGATTCAAATAAGCACAAGATTTATCCCCCAGAGCAGAGGAAATCTGGAGGATTGCTCTGGAAGAGGTTTTCAAAATGCGCAGCTTGAAGATGTCACTAGCGCTTTACTACACTGAAGAAAGTCCGAGAGTAATCAAGAGTTTTATTTCATGCTTAAATGCCTGTATTTACAGATTCAGAGGAAACATAGTGTAGAAATTGCTTTAAATAATTTTGAGTGGTCAAAGGATTTTTGGGGCATGTCAAACTATATGTATGTGTGTGCATGTATTTATGTATAGGTATATGTGTGTGCATTTATATAGTTTTTGCATGATACAAATGTGCCTATGCACATAAATGCACGCTTTACCATTTACATACACTTTTTCTCACATTTGAGTACAATTTATTACAGTGTATTTTGTTACTCTCTCTTTTTAATATATTATATACATTTTATTGATTATTATTTTCATTATTATTGTTATTATTATAGATATTGCAATGATGTAGATATTTGTTAATCCTCCTGGGTGGTGGGAATTTAAAATTTTTTTTTATCTTTCCTTTCCACCCTCATTTAGTTAAATGCAGAGAAAATAAAAAAAGAAGAAGAAAGTTCCTTTCATAAGCATGATTCTATCTCCTGGACACTCTCCTTTTGTTTCTTTTTGTCTCAAGCACTGCATTTTCCATCTTCCTTATACATTTGAAAAGGTACTTCTAAAGAAAATGATAATTTTGGGTCCTGGGGTACAATATCACTTTTGCTTGGAGGAAAAACAGATTATGCTGGTCAATTTGTGCTGTTGGCAACTATAGTCTAGCTAATCACTCTCCACAGGGAGCATATTGCCATATGCATTCAATTTCTCTTTCTCTCTTTCTGAGAGTGTAGAATGCATCCAAATATGCAGAACAAAGCTATATAAACTATATGATGATAAAATTGCACTTTAATTTTTTACCTGGTGCAATGACCAAATATTTAACATATAAACATATAAAGTTAAATAAGTTTACTTATTTAAAACCTAAACGAATTAAAATGTTATAAACAATTGTCATTTTAAAGGGGTCATATGATGCTGCTAACATTATTTTGTGTATTTGGTGTAATGAAATATGTTTATGCGGTTTAAGGTTCAAAAAACACATTATTTTCCACATACTGTACATTATTGTTTCTCCTCTATGCCCCGCCTTTCTGAAACACGTCGATTTTTACAAAGCTCATCGGTCTGAAAAGCGAGGTGTGCTCTGATTGGCCAGCTATCCAGATGCATTATGATTGGCCGAATTCCTCAAGCGTGTGACGGAAATGTTACGCCCCTTACCATATTGTGATGCCTGCAGCAAC